TTGAAAAGAAAATGCGCAAATGGTATAATTCATACATAAATACATTCATACAAATACACATATACATATACATATGTATATGTATGCATGTATATATACACGTACATGTTTGTTTGCATATAGCCAACTGGAGTATAGCCCTCTTAATACTTAGACATCAAAAGTTGATGATATTCAGAATTATTAGCGAACTATCTTTAGTAAATTCATTGGGACTTGTATGTACATACATACATACATATGTACATAAGTATGTATGACCGAACCGCGGAAAAAAATTTACTTGAAGGTCATCTTTTGCTTTGAGCCTTTTATTTAATTTAATTTATTTTTTCTGTTGTTTGTTGTGTCTTGGCAAAGGCGGCTAGAGGAAGCGTACGAGTAGCATGGTTTCTTTTTCATCAAAATGCCTTGTATGTATGTACATACATATGTATGTATGTATTTTATTTATTTATGGCACGACATTTGCGCATTCCTTTCCTGTACTCATATCTACACACATATGTACATATGTATGTATGTACAATACAGTAAGTAGAAGCGCGTAGCCAAACATATCTATTTTATGCATGTATGTATGTATGTGTGTACCTATTTTACATACTTTAGTGCTAAATTAAAATTGTAATGAATGCACGATGCATTTAAAAAATAATGTCCGAACCTGTTACTCCGCTTTTTTATCAATGCATTCTCTCCCTCAGCCACTTTCAAAATTGTTCATTACATTTTTGTAAACTAATCTTAAACGAATTAATTTAATTCAATTTAATTTACTTACAACGTGCGCATGAATTGCTTCAACACAATAAATTTACATCGGGATTTCATCTAGATTTGTACATTCATATGTATGTACAGGGTGCGCCATCTTTTATGTCGGTATGCAAACATTGAATAAAATTGAAAATAAACAACCGATTTTCAAGTATGAGATATTTTTATTTAATTTGGTTACAATTAAAATTTCATTAACTGAGGTTTTCAACACTGGTCTACTCAAGTCAATCGGTTCACTAATGACAAAGTTATTCAATATCTACATACCGACATAAAAGATGGCGCACCCTGTACACTGTGCGTCATCAGGTTAGCACACCTACATTAGCCAAATACAATTGCGTCTGATTTTGTTGTTGTTAACTTTAAGCAATACTAGTTTTGTGCGCATGTATGTAACACACAGAAGGAGGCCCCACAAAGTATATATATTCTTGATCAGGATGAGAAGCCGAGTGGATATAGCCTTGTCCGTCCGTCCGTCCGTCTGTCTGTCCGTATGAACGCAAGGATCTCAGAAAGTATAAGAGCTAGAATAACCAAACTTGGTTTCCATATTCTCCTAAGACCAAGAAAGTACGAGTTTAAGTTTTTTTCGATGCACCCCCCCACTCCCCCGCAATTCGTGTTTTTTCTTATAACTTCCGTAATTCTCGGAATTTTGAAATCAATTTTGGTAGGTTAGTACTAATGTGTCTGTGTGCCAAATTTCATCATGATAGAAGAAAGTTATAGCCATAAGTAAAATCGCTGCTCATGCGCTGCCTGCAGCTCTGTCGGCAGCGCTGCCCGCAGCTGTTGTTGTTGTTGCTGCTTTTGTTCAACTTTGTGCTGCATACATACACGCATATAAACACGCATAGGTACGTGATGTAAATGTATGCTGTTAAAACTGAACATAAACATGTATTCTAATTTAATTTAATTAATTATTTTAATTAATTCATTCATTCATTTTTTTAATAATTTAATTTTTTTTAATTTTTCTTTTTTGTGGAGAGTACAGGCTATTTTACTGTCGGGCTTGCTCGACTGTAGCGTTCTAAATTGTTTGTTTTCTATTTTTCTCACCTTTGTATGCACTATCAGTAATAGTCTATCACTGACAAAGAGAACATGTGATAACAATATACCGTTATACGGTTTTTAATATTTTATTTTATTTTCAATGGAAAATGGTGCTTAATTTTGTCGTCATCAGGTTAGCACATGCAATTGGCTTTTCGTTTATCTTTGGAATTTGAACAGGTACATGAAATGTAGAAGGGTATACTAGGTTTGCGCGAGCTGAAAAATGTAACAGACAGAAGGAAGCGTGGCAGACCCCACAAAGTGTATACATACATATATTCTTGATTAGCATGACAAGACGAGTCGATCTATGTCTGTCTGTCTGGTTGTCCGTCTGTCTGTCCGTATGAACACCTGGATCTCAGAGACTATAAGAGCTAGTGACACCAAATTTTGCACAAAGATGCCTTATGTGTGTACGCTATACGAGTTTGTTTTATTTTTTAATTTTCCCCCCACTTCCCCCCTATGGGGGTTTTCCCGATTTTCAATTCGTATAATCGCCTATATCTCGGAGACTATAAGACCTAGGCACACCAAATTTTAGTCCAAGGTGCCTTATGTGAATGCGCAGAGAATGTGTATTTTGGAATTTCCCTCAATCCCCCCTCTCCACCGCAAATCGTAGCTCCCGTAATTCTTAGAATTTCGAATTTTGCAAATACCCCCATTTAGTCATTATGTGTCGGTATGACAAGTTTCACTCTGATAGACCGATTTAACAAGAAGTTATAGCCATAAATATAGTTGCTGCCCAACCGCTGCCCGCAGCTGTTGTTGATGCTGATGCTTTGGTTAACTGCAAGCATGCTTACACAGACACGAATAGACGCGCATAAACATAGATACATACACTCACATAGACGCAATTGCTTTGTACAATTTCTTACTTAAAATGTCGGGATATGGTATAAATAATAAATGCGGTAATAATAAAGTGATTTCCGATGCTGATAAAAGAGCAATTTTGAGAGAAGCATCAATCTCTCATAAATGGACTGCAAAGATCGAGGCAAATGTTGGTGTTGAAGCCAGCTTATCTACTGTTTAAAGGTGGTTAAGAAATGCTCCACATTTGAAAAGATTAAAACTAAAGAAAAAACCACCACTTAACTATGCTCGGAAGGGAATACGATTAAGTCAAACTCTGCTTAAATTTTGATTTTAGGGTTGGTTTTTTTTCGGATGAAAAGAAATGTGATTCGGAATGGTCCGATGGATATAATTTTTATTTCCATGATCTTGGGAAGAAAGAGCATCATTTGGTTCGACTTCTTAGTCGGGTGGGTGGTGTAATGGTGCGGGGAGCCAGCTCATGTTGTGTTACGTGCGAGTTGTAATTTTTGAACACGAATATTTATGCAAACACTTATAAAAACGTATTTTCCCCATTTCAAAAATTTGCTTGGTGATTTCCCTGGATGTTTTCAACACGACAATACGTCGATTTATTGAAGCGGCCACCTTACTCACCGGGCATCAATATAATAGAAAACGTGTGGGGATGACTGGTTCGCAAAGGTTACGAATCTGGCAGACAGTATTCTACCAAAAAGGAATTAATTGAAAGCATTAAAAGTGCTTGGTCAGCCATTTCTTTAAGTTATATTGGCCAAATTTAAAATGTGAATTTTTCGGTTGACTTCGAAAAAAATCACAAAAAAATATTGAAAAGTAGAGGAAATCAGGGGGTGTGCTAACCTGATGACGCGCAGTGTATGTACATATGTATCAGAGAACTCCAACGAGTACTACATTTTCGGTCATACTCAAGTATTCGGTATGATTATTTCATTTGGGTATAGTGACAAGCAATGACTGGTTGCGAAGGAGCACTCAGTTCGAATCAAAACTGCAAAAACTGAGTAGTGAGCGGTTGTGGCCGAAACTTCTTGCATGAATGCAAGAAATGATCAAACGTCGTATTTGCAATCATGCCCGCATGACCGAAATGACCAATGAGATGGGCGCGTGCACGTGCACTTGCATTTTCCATTGTTTTTTCGGCTATTAGTTCAATAGTAACTTCATATACAAGTATATGCATATAAATTAAAGAATCCAACAAAACTATTAGCGAAAAGAAATACCTTCCTTTTTATTTCAATTAAAAATAGTTATGCTATTTTAATTTATACTAATTTGTTTACTTTAAGATATTTGAGTTCATTTTTTAAGAAATAAAACGCTGAATATCATAATATACAAAAAAATAAATATGTTTTGTTTTCATTCTGTACCTCTTTATTTCAAATACGTACACATGTTTGCGCATAATTGAAAACACCCTTAATGGACACTTCTTTTATTCGGACACTCTCTTTGGCGGACACCTTTTCTAAAAACATTCGATCGGTGTATAAAGTATGTATCTAAGTATCCCCTTAAGCGGACACTCCCCTTAGCCAACCGTGAGTGTTCAGCCACGAGAGTTTTCCCTGTACATAAATATGTGCATGCATTTTTTATATGGTCATATCCGGGTAAAACCCGCGCAATACTCGAGACATACTCGGGTAAAACCTGCGCTATACTCGAGTAATACCCGAGTATAACTCGCGCAATACCCAAACAATACTCGAGCAATAACGGTATTATACTCATTCGATCAAACGCTCATTGTGCAAAGTCTGGTTTGTTTTGATCAGGACCCAGTCATCTTAAACGAAGTGACCGAGCCTGAACTGTTTTAAAGCAAACCAATCAAGACCGGTGCTTGTTCGTAAAAATAGAAAGATTGCTCATGCAAGTTCGATCATAAGAAAAATGCTGAGAGTACTCAACTCGTTCAAGCTCGTTTGCAGCCAAGCAAAGATCTGATTTGATTGCATTTTCAGCAAGGGCGGTCGAACACACTCGAACATACTTGTTGCAGTTCTTTGGTGTGGGAGTGGTGCATCAGACAGAGGGGTGCATCAAAAAAAATACAAGCTCTTCGATACCAAGTTCAGTTTTTCAAGCTTTTGTTCTTTTTAAGATCCTTACGTTTATACGGACAGGCGGACATGGCTTTGTCGACTATTTAATATATGTATACTATAAACTTTGGGGGTTTGGTTTTTGGGTACAAGGTATAGCACATTGGTTTAAATATACATATTTATATATACATATGTATAATATGTATCTTTCGTATGCACTTGCAGGATTCACCACTCTCATCGAAGGTGGCCATGTTTAACAATCAGGCGACACAGCACAAGCAGTCGCAGTTATTGAATCCATTTTCGCAAGACGGACGTGCCTCATCGCCAAAACCAACATTTTCCAAGGATCAGTATGGCAAGCCACTAGCTGGCAGTTTGACTGAGATGCGCGGTCAAAAGGCTAATATTCATGTAATGAAGGAAATGGTTGAACTTTGTCAGATCATTAGTTCTGAGGGGTATGAAGTAAAGGATGAACCCACTATGCGAGTAATACCATTTGGGGAGCTGTTCAATGTAAGTTCACACACTGATCTGATGCAGCCAAATATTATGATACATTTTATGTTCTATACGGTAGATCTACAACTATATTTCCGATAAAGTGGTTGGCATACTGCTCCGTGCACGCAAACATAAGCTAGTTGAATTTGAGGGAGAGATGCTGTTTCAACGTCGTGACGATGATGTGCCCATATTTTTGCTCAAGCCTGTTGCCGAGATCCGGCGCGAGCTAGAAGCCAAAATCGAGGATATAAAACGAGCAACAAGTCCAGCGCCACAATCGACGTCAGTGTTGCTTGATAAGAGTGCACACGAGAAAAAACTTCAAGTGCAAAAGGAGCAGAAGCGCCAATCCAAGTCGCGTACACCATCGCCTGCAGTTAAATCGAAATCAACGTCACCAACGCCAACGCCAGCTGAGGCAAAGCCACCATTACCACCGGCAGCAACACCAGTACCAACGCCAGTAGCAACGACTGTAGTAATTGAAGCAAAGGACGCTTCAGCTCCGGTCAAACCAAGCGCAGAAATCACAGTAACTGCTACGCCTGCTATTATTGTGGAGCAACCGCCTCTAATTACATCTCCAGCTGATGAGACGTCAAAAGTAGCTGAGACAGACGACCCAGCAATGAAAACAGCACAGGTATCTAGTGAGCAATCACCGCTAACAAATGCTCCCCAAAAGGATGTCCCTGTTACTGCTATTGAAAGACAGGAACAACGTGAGTCCATGATCACCGAAAAACCCAATACTATTGCTGCCCTCGCCACCATGCCGGTAACAATACCAACAGAAAACGCCGCTGCCAACAATGATTTGCCCACTATTGTAATCGAAGCCTCTGCTGTGTTTGTCCGTACAGTCAGCGTAGACAACACCTCTACAAAAGGCTCAGAAGCAGCGCCTACGGAAACTGTCGGCTCTGTTAATGCGGATCCAGATGGCAACATCAACTAAATTGTTTGATACAACTCTCAACTAAAGAAGCGGCAGCTTTAAATTGCAATACTTTAGTTTAAAGCCCATTTAGTTTAGTTTATAATTAGTGCTAACATATGTGTATAGTATAATGTACATACATACATATGTAGATATGTAAGTATGTACATATGTATGTATGTACATACAACATATTTATTTGCACATTACTGAAGACAAGGAAGAAAGTACATTCATGTGTAGGTATATATGTATGTACATACATATATGTATGTATGTACGTCTGTATACACAATATGTATGAACATACATATGTATGTAATAAAATGATCAGCTTAATGTGTTTGACGCCCAAAGAAATAAACATATTATGCTAAAAAAAACCCAAACGTAAAATAAATGCTACCATAGATAGACACAGTATTATATAAAACTCATTTATGCATGAATATTATATAATATGCAGCAGTATAATAAAACATACACATGTACAATATGTACATGCATACACATGCCCCAATAATTTTATCTGTTGCTCTCTATTGGCACCACTTTCCATTGAAAAGATTTCAGCAAGGTGGCAGCACCATCTTAGAGCGAGCGCGCTACGATAGCAAAAAAAACAGCTGGGGAGTCGGCCTATATATGGTGGGAATTTCAGTTTACGCAAGATAAGCAGATAAAGATAAATTAAACATAGGCAATTAGTATTATAGTGACTCAAATCAAAGCCTATTGCTCTTCAATAACTGCCATATTCATGCGCAAGTTCACTGCCCTTGCCCTTGGAACAGGCGCCGGTTTGGTGGCCTATTATTACCAGCGGTTATGCGATCCACAAAAAGTGGTTCACAACTCCTGGACGAACAGCGAAAAGCCCATAAATGAGTATGCCCTCTGGGACAGCAACTGGGATTTTCGTGACCCGAAGAGTTTGGTGCGACCGCAGAAAACCGAATTGCCGCAAGAGCAAAATCGGTACAACAGCGAGCTAGAGAAAGCCGTGCCCAAGAGTGCGCGCCATATCATCCTTGTAAGGCACGGAGAGTACCTGGATGTGGGTAATACGGATGAAACGCATCATTTAACGGAACGCGGTAGACTCCAGGCTAAATATACGGGTAAACGACTCCGAGATCTAGGCATCAAATGGGATAAAGTTATTGCATCTACAATGGTGCGTGCGCAGGAAACAGCGAGTATAATAATCAAAGAGATTGACTTTGATATGAACAATGTCAAACATTGCGCTTTCCTGCGAGAAGGAGCGCCCATTCCGCCACAGCCCCCAGTGGGTCATTGGCGTCCCGAAGCTTCGGTGAGTAGAAAATGTGAGCCAAGCGTCCTTCTAAACATCTGTCAATTCACTTGCAGCAGTTTTATCGCGATGGTGCACGCATTGAGGCAGCCTTTCGTCGCTATTTTCATCGCGCCTATCCCGACCAAGAAAAGGACAGCTATACATTAATTGTAGGACATGGCAATGTGATACGCTACTTTGTGTGTCGTGCCCTTCAGTTTCCACCAGAGGCGTGGCTTCGGATTAGTATCAACCATGCCTCCATCACATGGCTGACGATCAGCGCGTCTGGCAATGTGACTATCAAATATTTGGGCGATTCGGGTTATATGCCGGTCAATTATCTGACCCATCGCATACCACGCGACGCCAAGGGTGTTGTGTAGACAACCAGCCGCCATCCCCCACCTCTATGTAAGATGAAAGAGAACCAAGTAAAGCAGCGTAGCTGGCAATTTTGCATTTATCCTAGTTGTTTTTGTTCTATTTGGAATTGGCCAGACAAGTTGTATTTTGGGAAATAGATACTTTTACACCTTTTTTCGGAGCAAGGTTACAATTGCAAAAACCGGTGTCACATATACGAATATATGGTATGTAAATTAACAACGGGGCCATATGAATCGACGTATATAGTTTGTATCGTCGCAATATGGTTCTTATTCCTGCAATATATAACACTACTCTTTTATACCCTGTACTCATGGTTACAAGACGTTCGTAGAGACATATATATGTTTTACTGATTAGTAATAGAGGGGAAATTGGGGTGCATCAGAAAAAAAACACAAACTTGATCTGCCTAGGGCTTAGGCGAACCTTGATACCAAGTTTGGTAATTCTAGCTCTTGTACCTTCTGAGATCCTTTGGTTCATACAGACGGACATGGCTATATCGACTCGTTTTGTCATACTGATCAATAATATAATTATGTACTTTTGGGGGTCTGCCACGCCTCCTTCTGTTTGTTACATTCGCACTAAACTAGTATGCCCTTTGGGTACAAGGTATAAAAATATATTTTTATATGTATGTATATGGGTACGAAGTAATTAAATGCATTGTATTTCATGTAAGGAAATTTAATTATCGACTCTAGCATTAAATTCTCGTTATGCCCTTATTACCTTACGGGTAAAAAGGATATATACATATACATATGTACATATATAGTATTAAGTTTATGCATGCAAAAAAAGCATCTCTGACCCCATAAAATATATACTTGTACATGTGTATATTCTTACTCAACATGACGAGAAGAATCGATCTAGACATGTCCGTCCGTCTGGATGAACACTTGGATTTCGGAAACTGAGCGCACATTAGCCAATCTTTGTATGCAGACGTTCCTAGTCCCTAGTCTCTCCCCTCTCCCAATTATAGAATTTCGTCTATACTGCCTACATTTTAAAATCTACATAAACCAAAATTTGTACACGTAATATACATATATATATTTCTACATTTGTGTTTTTATACCCTGTACCCAAAGGGTGAAAGGGTATACTAGTTTTGTGCGAATGTATGTAAAAGGCAGAAGGAGGCGTGGCAGACCCCACAAAGTATATATATTCTTGATCAGGATGAGAAGACGAGTCGATATTGCCATGTCCGTCTGTCCGTCCGTCTGTATGAACGCAAGGATCTCAGAAAGTATAAGAGCTAGAATAACCAAACTTGGTATACAGATTCTCCTGAGCCTGAGAAAGGACGAGTTTGTGCATTTTTCCCGATGATGAAGTGGGTACAGGTTGGCCCGTTCCAATTTTTAATATCTAATTATTTTAAAGGCGATGTATGATGATGCTAACCTGGCGGTCCTGCAGAATGGAAAAACAAGTGTACCTTTCCAGACAAACACAGGAGTCAAGCAAGGCTACCATCTATCGCTACTGCTCTTCAACATCGTGGTAGACGAGTTCATGAGGGAAATTTGCAAATCCAAGCGTAGTATCACTGGAGCTTCAACAGACATCTTGAAGACTTGGACTATGCGGACGACATCTGTCTGATCTCTCACAATCTCTGTTATATCCAATCCTAAGCTGATGACCTCGTGGACTTAGCCAGTCGGGTCGGGCCTTAAATAAACACGGCTAAAACAAAAGCGATGCGCCTCAATCGCGCCCGCCAAGCAAACATCAACATATGTGGAACCCAATCGAGTTTGTCGATAACTTCACATACCTCGGCACCATTATCTCCAACAATGGTGGCGTGAACGAAGATGTATCGAGTCGTTTTACCAAAGCCCGAACAGCATTCGGAAGACTGTATCGCATATGGAGAAGCGGACAGTTAAACAGAAGAACCAAACTGCGTATCTTCAATGCCTGTGTCAAGTCCACATTACTGTATGGGAGCAAGACGATTCCGCCCTAAGGGGGATTTTCGGAAACGCCGTTCGTATAATCACCTATATCTCGGAGACTATAAGACCTAGGAACACCAAATTTTAGTCCAAGATGCCTTGTGTGAATACGCAGAAAATGTGTATTTTGGAATTTCCCTCCCTTCCCTCTCTCCACCGCAATTAGTGATATTTCAAAACTCCCGTAATTTGGAATTTCGAACTAAAATTTTGCAAATACCCCCAGTTAGTGAATATGTGTCCGTATGCCAAGTTTCATTATGATAGATCGATTTAACAGGAAGTTATAGTCATAAATATACATATTTGCTGCCCAGCGCTGCCCGCACCTGTTGTTGATGTTGGTGCTTTGGTTGACTGCAAACATGCTCACACATGACATGCATACACTCATATAGACGCAATTGCTTTGTATATGCGCAATTATACACCCTTTACGTGAGTTCGAATACCGAGAGAGGTAAAATCGATCAAAATTGATTTTAAATTTTTTTAATTTCTATAATTATTTTAAACATACATATGTACAGAGTATTTCAAAGTCGGGACACCCGACTTTAGCATTTTTACTTGTTTCATTTAAAAAATGTGTTCACGACATTCGACTTTTCGACGTCGGCTGAATGTACTCCAATTCCTAATTCTTTGGCATAGCTGTTTGAAGGACTTGCTGCAGTTTTTGTAAGCATTTACGTATGCCTACATCAACGCCCGGACCGCGTTTCTGCTCTACGATCTGCGCCTCATTTTTAACAAATGGCAGCAGGGGCGCAACTAGGGCTGGCACCAGCTCACTGATTTTAAAGAGCATTTGAAAAAAGAAGTAGGTACAGTGAGCCATATGTTTTTTGGCTAGTGTGCAGATATCAGCGGCGAAAGCGTCACGTATTGTGGAAGACCGCTGGAAGATTCTATGGCTGATAAGCGCGCGATACAATTCTAGAACTAAGATGCGACTGTGGGCATTTTCGTCCACAAACATCACGTGCTCAAGCAGCGGCTGGTGTGCAGCTTTCAGTAGGGTCAACAACTGTGCCTCTCCACTAGCCTGTTGCTCCGTGCTTGGTACATCCTCCAGCCCATTAATCAGCTGCTGCAATATGGTTACGACGAGCCCCGTATTTGGGCCCGCCTGTCGTTGCTGCACAACCAGGAACTGCGCCATCAGCTTTTCCAACACAAATTGCGACAGCTGTCCCTCCACATCAGTCTGCAATATGCTCGCATAAGGGCGCGAAACCAACTTGGCGTTTGTCAAGTTTCTGAAGTACGGCGTCCAATGAAGAAGAAGCTTTTGCAATGTCCAACCAAGATACGCGTCCGTTTTATAAGGTAGCCGACCTATGCCTTGCAGCAGTACCGGGAATATTTTGTGCATCATCTGTGGCAGGCGGCCTTTAGGTGGTGTCCCCGTCTGCAGAGACGTAGGCAAGAGAAAACGCGACAAAGCCAAATGAAAGAAGCAGCTCGGTTTCGAACGCACATAGGCCAAGGGAGCGCAGTTGTAAATAACAATGGCTATAAAACTGTAGAAGCGTGTAACCAGTTCAGGACGCTCTGCGTGGATTCGCTCCGGTGGCAGCCACAACTCAAAGTTGTGTACGTAGGCATGCAGTTTGTTGCTTAATTGCATGCGCACATGTGCATTGTCCTGGACGTGCAGGTCGAGCGCTCTAAAGAAGGCGCAGAGTGGTTCTCTTGTCTCCAATGCTGACGGTTCAATGTGCAGTGCCTGAAACTCTGAAAGCTGCTGGACATGTGGCGTTAGCGCAATCACAGCTTCGTGATGCGGTGTCAGTAACACTAGCGACTTCACCCATACTTGTATGATGACAGCATCTGTCAGTATGATGCCGCCAGATTGTTTATCCGCATGCTGATCCTCCAGCACATGCAGCAGTAGCTGTGCATTGGCCGCCATATTCGCTGGTGTACCATGTAGAAAACCTGGTAGCAATTTACCATCTTTGAGACAAAAGTCTGCGGACAGTTTAGGCAACCAAGTACTGTAGCTACTAACGTACTGTAGACGGAGCAAGGGCAGTATATGGTCCTGGAGTGCCTGCCACATATCTTGGACTCCCGCGTTTGGGACTTGTAATTCACGTATACGCTCAAAGATCAGATGTAGCGTCTCCCAGACGCGATCCTGGGCAGCCTGTTCACTGTGTTCTACGTAATGGACCAGCCAAGAACTGATCAAAAGATGCTCACCATGAGAAAAGTCGCAAGTCTGCTTGTAGATCGGCTGAAGTGCAGCTACAAAAACACTAGCTACATCCAAGTCATTTTGCACTTTCTTGAGCTGAGCCAAAAGCTTCTTAACGTATTCGTCCACCGGCACTTGACGCTCTACGTGCAACAATAGCAGTGCCATGTGACCTTTCGCTGTGACCAGGCGACGATTTGGCGGCAGCTTGTCCAATGACATACAAAGCATCATCTCTCGCAATTTAGGCGCCAACTCCGCAAAATCACAGTATGAGAGCAATAAGCTCAGAAAAAGCTCGATCACTTGGTGTATGCCCTGCTCGTTAAGCGCTAGCATTTTTGCGGCGCTGAATTTGCTGAAGATACGACCCAACACTTTTTGCACCTGGTTACTATGTCCAAGCAACTGCAGCGACTTGCCAAGCAGCAGGACGAAGAGAGTAAAGCTGCCTAAATTCAGATCATCCAGCTGCTGCTTTCCGAGCAGCTTGCGATAGCGCTCCAGGTATGCGCTCCCACTTGCGCATGTTTTTGGCAGCTCTTGCATCCGCGAGCCGACTATAGTCAAGCTACAGTTGATGGAGCGATGCATATGCTCCCAGATATGGCAGAGTACGTCTGAGTTGGGCCGACCGAATTGCAGCTGCAGTGGCGCTAAAAGGCAGAGATAGACACGTCGTTGCTGCTCATCTGGCTGACAGTTGAGGAACTCTTTGAGGCAGGCTGCAATTTGGAGGACCTCTGATGAAGGAATGGACTCTTCTTGCTTCCACTGGGCACTGAGACGCACCAATGAGAGACGCAACCACGCATGGAATTCATGACAGGCCAAGTCTTTGGAAGAATCGACTGTAAATTAAGGACGTTAGGGCATGTGGACGAAAATAAATGAAAAGGCTTCTTAAATTAAAACTTACGCTGCGTCTTGTAGCGGTACATGGCTCGGTCAAAGAGTGGCCAGAATTCTGCTTCCTCGGGAGGCATCAAAGTCGACAGCTGGTACGACCACATAGGCAACAAGCGCTGCAGTAGCATCCAAAACTCCTTTATACAGGGACATACAAAAGCTGAAGAGTGCAACAATTCAACTTTATGTTTGCTGTGATGAAAATAGCTGGCACACAGAATCAGCTCATCCAGAGTGCGCTCCAGTTGGTCATAAAAAATCTGTTGTGCCTCCTGTAGTTCCTGCCCATGTACCTCGTACTTCAGGATCAGGTACAAATCCAGCATACGCCATTCTAACGCACCGTGGTAGAAATGATAGGCGGGCGCTTGGCATTCGTTGCCCTTACTGTGCTCGGCGAAATACAAGACACGCCACGTGCCCGCATCCAGAATGTTGTTGAGCAGCTCTCGCAAATAGGTAACAGGTTCCCGCAATACTGGCCAATGCAGTTCCATAAATTCATCGTGTAGCAGCAGATGATAGCAGTGTGTGACCTGTTGACGCGCTTTGTACCAGTCGATTTGGGTCTGCGCCGATCTTAAATGTTGCTGCTCTACCACAGTCGAGTAGAACTTTTGTACGTTTTTGCTGTCGATTATACAAATATACATATCGGTTGACTATTACTGATGCCACTTAATTGATTCTTACCATGCATCGCTTAGGAGGAAACTCATTACAGCGCGCACTTGTAATTGTCCTGGATCAAAGCCAAACATCAGATTGTCCAGCTTGGTGCATGGGGGCAGCTCATGCAACCCATAACCAAGGCCAATGAAGCTATCATTGCGAAAATCTTGCACGCGCGATTCTCGGCCGCTGCAATTGAATTCCGGCAAAACTGCTGTATATTCATTGTGTGCAGATTGTTGTTCAGATGGCAAGCAAACAGTAGTGTTTACTTGTTGCTTATCTGTTTGAGTTGCAGCCAGGAAAGCATTAAGAATATCTTCATCGTCATCCGATTGAAACAGGTCATAATCCATAATACATGTGTATTGTATTGTCTGTCAAAAAAGCTTTTAAAAAGAAACTAAGAACAATGCTGATCGCTTTTACCTACTTTAGCATAAGAACTAGCGTAAAGGGTGTAGGGACGTAAGAAAGCATCGATCTATCGAGTATTGACAATGTTCTTTACATCGATGTTTTACGATGTTTTGTTGCTTGCGATGCATCGCCGATTCATCGATATTTGTTCATACATGGAACATTTTGCATGTCTTGTTCGACGGTCACATTTCTTTGTGCGGTCAAAGCCAAAGTAAGTTTTCCTGTAAATTGCAGTATTTAAAGAGTATGCGTATAGCCACTTTAAAATTGTAAAAGGCGTCGGATTGATTTGTTTTTAAAATTACATGCTCATTAAAAGTCAGGATTATTTTACATTGAGTAAAATTCTGTGACAGCATATCTTGATTAATACACGTTGTTTATTTAAAATATCCCTGTTGATTTCTCCCCAAATATGAGCCGTTTTTCTATGAAAAGTTAATTTTTGAAAACATCGACATCGATGTTTTCTCTTCGACTAACATCCCTGTAAGGGCGCACACTACATAGGAATATGTGTATTTGTATACATATGTATGTCTCGTTTGCCTGAGCAAAGCAGCAGCAACAACAAACAAATTGCAAAATACACATTTGGCCATTCATTGCGTATTCACATAGTACGTCTTGGAATACAATTTGGTACCCTTAGGTCTTATAGTCTCCGAGATATACATATGTACATACATAGGTGCTTATACGAACCGAAAATCGGGAATTCCCCCATAATATAGATCAAGAATACTCATATGCATATGCACACATACATACATATGTACATATGTGTTTTGTGGGGTCTGCCATGCCTCCTTCTGCCTTTACATTTTTCACCTCCCGCAAACATATAACAATTAGCAGCTCAAGGCTCATTGTTATGAAACGCATCACAGTCAGCTTGTCTTTTAAGCAGCTGAGTATCTTTTCGATTCACCAATAGGAAGTTATCGCTAGAGATGTGAGGCATTGTTGAAATCCAAATTTGATAAGCAACTTTATTTTGGATTGGACATTTGGACTTTCGAATAGGTCCGATTGTAGAGTGCACACAATAGATAGATTGGTGTAAGAGACAAAGGAGTCTGTGAACAATATGTCGCTGCGCCCACTTGTCGAAGGCGATTGCGGAGCCGTAAACCCTTTAGTACAACTTGGTGGCCAATTCACTCGCGATGTTGCACACAAGGATGAAGGTCTTACGAAGGCGCAATTTGAGCGCAGTATGCGCTCCGACGAGCGGCTAGTACAAGAATTTTTTGGTCAAGCAGCTGGTCCACCCCAGTCTTTTCAAATGGACACCTTGCTTCAGGAGATGCGCGATATTAACATAAGTGGAGATGGAGTGTCGCAGCAACAGTGCATGCAGGACCAGGTGGCCAGCCAGTGGAGTGCGGACTTCACGCAGCAAATGGCACCCGCACTCCCTAATAATATGGTGCACATGCAACCACAGCCACAGCCACAGTTGCATTACGTTCGGGAGTTTTTTGATGGACCTGGGACGAGTAGTCGGAATTTCTATGCACCACCTATGATGCGACAACCCTACATGGCCATAGCTGCTGGTCCTCAGCAGCATAACACATTCTTCGATACGAACACGATTATAACGGAAAACATACCGATGGCTCAGAAGGGTGAATCTGTTGATGATTGGATCACTGACTATCAAACTAGCAAGAAAGAGAATGAGCAAACTGTAACCAATTTCAACGAGAAATTCTGGCAGCGTCTACAAGAAGAATGGCAGAAGCTGGCTGAGGAGAACGAACATCCCTGGCTCTCCGAATACAATGAGAACTTAGACGCTTACAAGGAGTACGAGTTCGCCGAAGAAAATCCCATGTCCGAGCTGGATAATGCTTTTGAGAAGGGAAAAGAATATCTATCCAAAGGCGATATACCAAGCGCAGTACTTTGTTTTGAGGTGGCGGCCAAAAAAGAACCGGAGCGCGTGGAAGTCTGGGAGCTGTTAGGCATATCGCAAGCCGAAAACGAAATGGACCCGCAAAGCATAGCGGCACTGAAACGGGCTTTGGAACTACAGCCAGAGAATCAACGTGTACTAATGGCTCTGGCCGTGTGCTATACTAACGAGGGCCTGCAGAACAATGCCGTGCGCATGCTCTCAAACTGGCTACAAGTGAATCCACGCTATCAGCACTTGCTCACAGCCCATCCAGAGTTACACTCTGAACAGATTTCACTTGCTTCGTCGCTCATAGGAGCGAATAAACTGCGCGAACTGCAGCAAATATATCTGGAGGCGGTGCGTATAAATCCAGCGCAAGTCGATCCTGATTTACAGGAGGCACTAGGCGTACTTTACAATTTGTCCAATGAGTACGACAAAGCCGTCGATTGCTATCGCTCTGCCCTGCATGTAGATCCACAAAATGCTAAAGTGTGGAATCGTCTTGGCGCTAGTTTGGCTAACGGCTCGCGCTCGGTAGAGGCTGTAGAGGCCTATCAGCAGGCGCTTCTGCTTCAACCAGGATTCATACGCGTCCGTTACAACGTCGGTGTGTGTTGCATGAATCTGAAGGCATACAAAGAGGCCGTGGAGCATCTGCTGACCGCTCTGACCATGCAGGCACACACCAACGCCGCGCGCGAGTTGCCAAATGCGGCAGCAGCTACAACAGCCGGTGGACAGCATCAGATGTCCGAATCAATTTGGAGCACCCTGAAAATGGTCATTTCACTTATGGGCCGGAGTGATCTCCAGGGCTACGTAAGCGATCGAAATTTGACGGCCCTCAATGAGGCGTTCAAGGAGTAGGCTCTCGCTTAACTTTCGGTCTTTCGGTGAAGAGCTTAGTTGTACATAATGTATTTAAATGCATACCTCTGTTTCGCTTTAAATTTTTGGTTTCATGTATTTAGCTATCATACATTCTGCCTTTTTCTGGATTTTTGTGTTAAAGCACAGAATTGAAGATGGCAAATATATATACGTATACGTCTATATTTATATAAATGTATGTAAAGTTCACTTAAATAGTTAATTGCTATACAAATTCATAAAATGACCCTTAACCACTATCTATGGTAAGCGCTTATAATCGATTTTTTCCAACTGCACCAACGGCTTTAGCTGATCAGCAAATACGCGCATTTCCTCCCCAACACTCTCTTGACCATTGGGCGCAACCACTGATAGCTCCACAATATAGCTTTGTGAAATCGGATCATTATCTTGCTGCTTGCCGGGTATTATTTTGATAAGCTTTGATACGGTTATTTTCATGCGTCCCTTGCGAAACATAAAACCTGCATAAATAGACTTATTTTTATTCATTTAATTTCCATGATGGCCTGCCACAACTTACCCTTGGCTATGTATTCAAAATCGAGGCGAAACCCCATTTCTGTGAGAAATTCAAGAATACCATTAGTACAAGCGCAGTCCATGCAACTTCGCACCAATGTAGGCTTGCGTTGGTCCACCTCCGGTTGTCCAAGATAACGCATCTGGAACGGTGCATCACGATCCAAGGCGCGTCGCACCCGCAGAGTTAAGGGTGCATTTTGATTGGGTTGCCGCAAGCTCATGCACACCTCCAGGTCATGAAAAGTCTCCGGTGATGTGTCCACGTTGTCGCATAGGCCTTTTAATCTGCATGAAAGTTGTTAGTAATTTGACGAATCCAAATTCCTGTTGATTACCTGTGCATTAAGTGCTCCACCGCAGAGTCCAGAATGGAGCCCTGAAGCAAAAACTCAAGATTAGGAAGAAATCGATTTTGAAGAGCATGCGAGAGCGATTCCCGGGCCGAGGCAACGGTAGACATCACAAAGGCAGGAATTCAATTAATATAGTGTTGATCTGAGCAGATGCGTATGTAAAAATATTTGCGGCGATTTTAATCCAGTCCAGCGCTGCCGGACCGCGCACAGCTATGACCATCTGGTAGTCTGGTATATTAGTGCTGCCACTTCAAGCGTACCGCAATTTTTACTACTACTATTAGCTGCCATTAAATAAATGTACGTACATACATATGTATTTACAAATATACATAAATATGTGGGTGTGCTATAATTTTACGCCGTTATGAATAATTTTTTTTGGCTGACACCCCCACTACGTTATTTATTCAAACATGCGGATTGTGTAATTTGGTAAATGAAACACTCGTTCAAAAAGTAAAAGTGCTACCTACGTTTATACCGATCTCCCGCTTGTATTTAGTAAAGGCAGAGCTGACAGCAGTTCTAACGGTATAAGAACACGCATACATACATACATATGTATATACATGTGATATAAATGAATGTGTTTAAGAACATTGTACATACATACAATGTATGTACATACATATGTATTCTTAATAGATGTTTTATTATTTTAGGAGTAAACAATTGCACTTCCGCAATGCATCATCACCAAGAACATTTTGATTCATAAATGCTGAATAAAATGAAGCAAGAAAAGTCATTTCTTTTGTCCGGTCTGCAACAAAATTCTGCATGTTCATATGCACGACGTTTTTGCGAGCTGAGTAATCGCAATTTAAATATTGTTTTGTCTATTATTTTGTTGCTTGCCAAGCTACTTGATGTCGCACAATTTTTTATGCAACTCTCATACATTCATAAATACATATGTATGTATGTATGTATATACCCACGTACAAATACGTATGAACATATGTACATATGTACGTACATACATATGTACATACATACATATGTACATACATACATATGTACATACATACATATGTACATACATATGTAGTATGACACGCACTCGCCGTCTTACTACAGATCATGGCGCGGTTCATGTTAAAGCGACATGAGTTTGGCGTCACACTTTGCCAACCTATAAAAACTATTGATGCGATGGTTTTGCTTGGCATTGAAAGCTCTTGACCAGAAGCGAAAACAACATACAACGGACATAGCGCAGAGACACATTTTACAGACGTACGTTAATACATACATACATACACAAAAAAGGACACAATGATCTTCTATGCTGTGAGTATATTTTTGGACACTTGATGCTTACAAAACTACATACATCAAATTTATTCACATAGACCGCTTTTCTTTTCATTGCTACCTGTATGGATACCCAAGCGGTGCTTCATGGCATAGAACCCGCAAGGACCAATTCACAAGATCACCAACACCTATTCTACGAAAAGTTGCTACAGCACAACAACAGGCATGGCTACCGCTACAATGGACCCGCGCACAAGTATTTGCCGGCTGAAGGGGCACCCAGTACCGATGCCGTTACCACAACTGGACATTGGCAATATAATCCAGAAGCTCATCATGAAGGACAGGAACCGCAGTTTGCGTACGACGAGCGCAGATATAGCAGCAAGCCTAGCCTATTAAGTGGGCAGTATGAAGAGAACTTCGATCAAAAACATAAACAACATGGCTATGTTGGACCCTATAGCCAGCAATATTATGCACATCGCGCTGAGGACCAGATGCACAGTCATCAAGAGGCTACGGAATTTTACTACAAAGAATCGCCATACTCCAATGTCAACCATTACCAACAGCAACAATCGCATCAACCCACAGCCAATCAGGATGCCCTACATATTGTTCCTGGTAAAAATATTGAGGGTCACGGCACTACAAATACTGCTTCGTTTGCGAATAATGTTCAATATGTTCCTGATATTCCTCTTCCTACTAATTCGCACGGCCAAATGCAAATTGGTCAATGGAATAAGCAGTTGATGAGTCAATCTGAGCCATACGAACAGACACAGTATTTTCAGCGCGTTCCGCAGCACCAAAAACACCAACAACAAGGAGGCAGTACCACGAGTTTTGTGCAAATGCAATCTCATTCATTTGAATTGCCTACATCCTTTAGTACTCAACATGATATAATCCCTCCGCCTGTCTATCGCCCTAGCCAAGCCCTTAAATATCCGACGACGCTACAACCTGAGCATCAGCAATCGTTCGAATATGATAGTAAAAAAAGTCAGAGCCAGCAAAAGAAATTTAATCGAGAAGAAGAACTGTCACAGCATCATCGACAAAATTATGGGAGCCAATCATTTTATGCATTCGGTTCAACTCCCACCATTTCACCGGTGACATTTGTATCCACACCAGTCACACCACACCATCAGTTGTCACTATCGTCCTACAGCGTCCAACAGACGACCCAGCCAAACTCAGCACGTCCAAATCGTGAATTTCAGCATTCTTACTATTAAGGGACCATCAAAAGGGGAGAATAGATGCAATCCACAGGCTTTATCATTACTTTTTTTGCTAGCTTGTTAAAAAATCGGGCTGTTGCTGCTCTATATAGCCGACTTATGCGTTATATAGATGTCACGTGGTTGCTCTGCGCTTATTCTGAGCGTATGCTTGAATTACTTCTAAATGCGTTAGATACATATAGTATATTTTATACACCAGCATTTTGTAAGGAAACGCATTTCGTATATTCAAAACATATTTAAAAGTAATATTTTATGTAGAAACCAAGTAAAATAAATCATGTATTATGTATATACAAGTACATATGTATATAAACTAGTTTGTCCTGACTGATTGGTGATCAACGCACAGTGTAAACGGTAAGATAGCTGGTCTGAAAATTCTATATCCCATAAAGTATATATATTCTGTCTGGATGAACGCCTGGATTTCGGATCGGCTGAGCGCACATTAACCAAACTTCTTGGTATGTATTATTATCTGAGCCATTGTACCTCCGTTTCAAAACGACATACCTCCGATCGGAGATACGACGCTCGAAAGGGACATATATCCGTCGCAAAGATGTACTAGGCGGAGATATGTTGTCGGAGATATGTCGCTATGCCCGAATAACCACACATAGTATTTATTGTACTATATGTATGCCCTAGCTCTCTAAAGTAATTTTCAATTTGGTAGTTCCTTTACAAACTTTAGAGAGTGTCTGAAGAGAAATAGCATATAATAGTAATTAAATTCATAATTTTAAGCAAAAATACTTAGCCCAGCAAAGACGAGCAAGACCTGCTAGTTGAGTATTAAAATTGCCGTGATGTTCACGTGACGCTCTGGCCAATTTTTGACCATACTTCCGTTCTTCAATACTTCCATTTAAATGCGCCATGCTTCTTCTTCAGCCTAATTATAGCGGCTGGATTGTGTAATTTGAACTTGACACTGGGTGAGATGTGTGACGGGCTTGCTTGGGTGGGTGTGTGAAATTAAAAACCTATTTAAAAGCGAAATTAAAGCTAACTTAGTTTTGAGGCATAATAAATAATGAGCTGTAAAATACATAACTACGTACATTTACACTTGTGTGTACAATATATGTGTATCTACGTACATATGCCTGTACACTCCCGTTCAACTGAATAAGTTCAACATATACTTTAAAAATTAAAATTGTGGCTGAATCGTCAACTTGTCTCCCGCCTTCATGTAATTTTTTGGACAATAGCCCCCAAATGATCTCAATCGTTATTATGTCCCGGGAGTATGGCGAGTTCTCAACCCTATCCACATTTTGATCTTGTATCCACGTTCTTACCACCCTGAAAGTGTTTTGTGGGATCCATCTGTAGATACACAGTGCAGGAGTATATTAGGCTTGTCCCAAGTGAAAAATGTAAAACGCACAGAAAATGTAGGAGAATTGTCCTCCTACTAAATCTGTGGGGTCTACCACGCCTCCTTTTTTATGCTACATACATTCGTATTAAGCTAGTAAACCCTTTTACCCGTTGGGTACAGGGTATACAAAATGTTTTAGTATTACATTAAATTAATTAGTGAGCCGGGTACCAGGTATAATAACGGGAGCGCGAGCTACTACTAGTGGTACACCGGCAAAACCCCTACGAAAAACACCCGTGGTTAATTCAGCCACTGATTTATAATTTCAATTGACTAGGAAGGATCACGATATGTTGACTGGGATAGACCAGACCTATATATAACTCAGTAATCGGAAGTTACCAACTCGATCCCCCGCTTCATGACCTGTTACCCGCGTTTTAGTTTTCTACTCTTTTTTTTAAACCCTATATCCGAAGGGTAAAAATAGGGTTTTGGCAACAGAAAGCATTTGACCCCAAATATTCTTGATCACCGCCTAGATTTCGGAAACGAAAACTCTCCAAATTCTAAGGCTACACGAGTCGTTCCAAAGCTTCATAAAAGTAACGTCCATCTTGAAGTTCATCTAAATCGGTCGATCCTAACAAATGTTGTTAGGGAAATAATTTTACTCCAGTAGTATACCCACAAACTGCATCAGCGGTTTCGCCTCGCTTCAGTTATTAAAGCACTTAAAACAGGATGTTTTTTCGTTCGAATCAATCGCGCTGATAATAAGCGCATATAGAACAGTATCTAAAGTAGCGCTGGGCACGGGTCGTATTTTTGGTCGTGGCACTTCGTGCCACGCGTGGGCCCGCATGTTCGTGTTGCAAATTCCGATCTCGTGCGTGGCCGTGCGCGTTCGTGTTGAGCTAAAAAGGCATGACAAAACACGAAGAAACACGAATATAACACGAACAAAATTAACAACAATAGTAATAAAAATATAGTCAACGCGACTTTTCTTAATTTTTGGAAACTAATAATGCAAACAAAATTTTCTGGGCAGGTCAAGAATATAACTACTACTTGTATATGTATATATGTAGTGCTGTTGATTTGTGTGTTAAAGTACTGGAAAAAAGTAAAAATTGGAATTGCTTAGGCAAATATCAAGATATATTGTCAATATCCCTGACAGCTTTTCAACAAGTGAACGAGCTTTTTCCACTTCTGGAGCAATTTCCAATAAGCGACGAGCTCGACTTCTCTTTGCTCAAATAGCTATAAATACAAATTCGAAGTGCTTAATATGGATATATTTTTCGTTTTTACATTTAATGGTAATAACAGGTTCGTGTTGGGCCGTGCTTAAAAATATTTGCTTCGTGCGTGCGCATGCGTGTTTCCAAAAGTTCATTTCGTAGCCGTGTCGTGTCGGGCCGAAAATAGCCGGCCCATGCCAATCTCTAATCTGTAGCATCGATCGACCTATTGGGCAGCCAACGGGATGAAATGCAAACAATGTCAATACGAGCAACTTGACAAACCATTCACATGGACAACGTGGAGCACACGATATTCCATTGCAAAAGCATTTGGATATGGCACACCGGAGAACAATCGAGGAAGGACATACAGCGAAAAGCACTGGAGATAAGTAACGGCCTTTGTTGGAACCCTTCTACGCTTTAAGATGAATGACCTAAGGATACAATATATACCCCATTATTTGTCACTTTTCTAAACACTTCGATTGTTTTCCGGCAACAGCGGTAAACATTTCTTACCATTTTTGTAACCTATTCAGTTAAGCTGGGGTGTTTGTTCATCAGGAACGCGTGCGTTCATAAATCATTTCCGTTATGTGTGTATGTACGAGTATGTTGCTTTGAATTGCAGTAAGACATGTTTTAACGAATGCTTAACTGAGACTGGCTAACAGCAGCAGACAAACAAGCACACATACAGATTCACAGACAAACATGCAGCATAAAATATGAAAAGTGAAGGTAATGTAAATACTCGTACAATCAAAATGCACAAACACCATACACTCCCACATACATATACATATGTATGTATGTATGTATGTACATGCCCTTCAACTTTTGCGTCCGTTATGAAATTATAACAGACAAATGTCAAAGCCCAACTTAAGTCGCTGCTCAACACTGACGCTGTGCAAAGAAAGTTGCACTTGGGACCTCAAATTGCGAGCAGTGAATGCGTGATAGTTAACAGTGGATGCGAGATAGTTAAGACAGTGAAAACTCCCTTAACGGACACCCCTCTTAGACGGACACTCTTTCTAGAACATTCGTTTTGGTGTACTTTTTAAGTACTTTCAAGTTCAACTCTCTTGTGCGGACACTCTCCTGACCGGACGCGGACACTATTTTTCGAGAAATTCGAACTAAAGCCGCTCTTGGCTGGACGCGAGCCTCGTGTTAACGGATGCTGACATGCATAAGCACATCAAATTTGAAAGAAAACCTCTCTTGGCATTCAAAATAATTGTAGTGATACTCTTCATTAAGCTTGATCATCCGTATTTATCATATTCTTTTTATTTCTAATTATTTTTTTTCTACGTATACCCATGTGATCCACTACAAGATTTTTATAAAATGTTCTATAGCTTCCGCTATTACACATACATTGCACATATTATTGTTGTTACATATGTAATTATTTGTTAGTTAGTTTTGCAAGATAAAAACAAGAGAGAACGACCCAAGCTCGACCTTTCTCGGACTTAGGAGAATCTGGATACCAGTTGAGGGTGAAATCAAAAAAATAAAATAAACTCGTGTGGCCTATGGACTAGGAGAGTCTACATACCAAGTTTGGTTAATGTGCTCTAGCCGTTTCTGAAATCCAGGCGTTGACCCAGACGGTGTGTGCAAAGTTTGGTTAATGTAACTTTTGAAATATGGACGTTATTGACGAAATTCTGTAGTGGGGGAAAATAAAATAAACTCGTCTATTCTCGGACCTAGGAGAATCCGGATGCCAACTTTGATTATTCCAGCTTTTATAGTTTCTGAGATCCTTGCGTTCATCCAGACAGAGTTCTTTCAAAAGCTGTTATACAAATTATAATAATGTAGTATAAAGCTACCAATTAACTTAACTATTAATTCGTCTTCGGGATGGCTGTACCAATTCGACGCACTGTTTGATCTTTATTGATTTAGTGGTATAACAATTCTCATTGATTATTTTATTATCATATCGTACTAATGACCTCGGCCTGTAAGCAATCATCAAGTTTTCAGGGTTACATGTGCGTGTATGTAGTACTTGTATGTATCTTTGGCAGAAGGCTTATCTTTTCACTTGCTCCAAATTTGTCGACTGTAAAATTTGTGCAACTTGGCTGTGGAACTTGAAGGGCGCCTCAGTTACATGGGCTGTTGAGCGCCTAAATTCAACAATGCGGACTCAAAAAACTCAAAATCAGCAAGACTAACAGAAACATCAGCAGCACCACCAATTTGCAGTTGGAACTAAGTGGCCCAAAAATTGCAAAATCTCGTTTGCGCAAGCAACAAAAATATAAAGAAAATTATAACGCATAATCGAAAGGCGTCAGGTGTCGTAAAGCGATTTTCGGCAAAGAAGTTGAACGCCTCGCCTTCGCCCATTAAACGATTCCCCACTCTTCTCCCCACTCGAACTCTCAATTAGGGAGTTCGTCAGGCAGACTGACAGACTGCGCTGGTTAAATTTTGAGCTTAGTTGAACAGCTGCAGTTGGGAGTAGCTACGACTGAGGTTGCATAACTAGTCACGGGCACTTGGGTTAAATAATGGAAGCGGAAGCTGCGTGCCGCGTGACGTATCACTTGCAAGCTGCAACGGAACTGAACTATTGGATTGGATTACATTGCAGTAGCCATATAAATAAAGTTACCAATCGCCGCTTGCACCAAACACTCAAAATGCTGTCAGCTGTTGTCATCATTAATCTCTGCCTGATCTCACTCTGCTGCCGAGTGGACGCTCAGCAGCAGTTGCCTGCTTACTACTCGCAAGCCGAACTATATGCCATGCCTTGGGAGACTGTAGCGCCAGCTTCGTTACAGAGCTTAACCTACACAGGTCCACAGAGATTTCCGTCTTCATCACCAGTACCAGCAGAAGTATCTCAACAGACGCCAATATCCATGGGTCTGTTTAGGCCTCATTCGTTGCAAACATCGTCTGCAACAGCCGGGTCTGAAACCAACTTCAAGCTGCCGTTCAGACCTTCTCCGTTTGCCGGATATAGTGATGGGAATGAGGAGCAGTCACCACAGCTGCAGAAACAAGAGCAACAGTTACGGCCTCCTCTGTCCCGACCAGGGGAGCTTCCTTTCCACGCACCTGGATACTATAATACCAAGCCCATTGGCGGACCCAGTACAAAGAAGAATTCCGATCCCAGGAGTTTCACGTATATGTCGCCCAGTTACCTTTACAACTTGTTTAGAAACTAAGTTTAACATTTTATTCAACTATTTGGGAGGTGTATAAGTGCTGTTTATGCTTATATAATTTTTTGTTAGATGCTACTTCTTAAAATAATTGATTTTAAATTATTGTATATTCTACAGTATGAACCGACATCTTAAGTAAAAGACAACGTCATGCCATAGGAACATAGCTCCATGTATGTAATCTAATCTTACCGAATACCTTGAAAGCTGTTAAGTAACTAAACATGATTTGAAGTTTTAAGCCATCCTACATTCTACTTTTTAGGCCCTAACCCCTTGCTACATAAACTCGACTTTGCACACGTAATTAATAACTTTTTTTAACTTTTGTTGTAAATTTCATCCAAATTGGCTAAATCTTAGAACAGTTATTAGCGAAACAATTTCACTCCGGTACTACGTCCACAAATAACGGGATCAGGTTCGCTTCCCTTCTTCTTCTTTCTGCTTCTAATATTAGTTGCTTGGGTACAATTCACAGTCGGGTTGGACAGCCCCATAATAGATAGAGCACAGATTAATTCTCTAGGACGTTTTAAAACTGTGTCCGCTAATTTTTAAAGGACCGCCAAGGGTATTTCAGTCCAACAAGGTGTGACTGCGGAAATAGTGACTTCGTTGGTTTTTCGCAAAGACGCACTTCTTTTACACTTCTCCATAACTTTTTTGACTCTTATACTAGATATTCCTTTGCAAAACACGCTATTTTGAGCTTTTCACCTTTCATGTGGGCATTTCCAATCTGACGTGATGTGACAATATATATATATATATATATAAATTGTATGTATATGTTCCGTATATAGACTCCGAAACCGCTCAACCGATGTTGATCAAATTTTGTGGCAATATTCAAAATAGTCCCGTGAAGTCCTGTGAAGTTTCGTGGCGATCCATCAACGCAATCAGCCATCGTTTTCCGACTTATTTCTGCTCTGCTTTTTACTCTGTTTTTCAGTGTTTTATACGCAAATAAATAAAACTGTAAAATTGAGTTCAAATTAATTCAGCTGACAATGCCGATGAACGCGAATAACATTTGCAAGATCTTTGCGAAAGCGCATCTACGTCTTGAGCCATAGAAATGGAACAAGAATGGGAGTTGCGGCTTTGGCAAATGCGCGAAAGGGCATCCACATCCGATCCAAGAAACACCAAAAGGGGATGTCCATGGGGACATCCTTTGTACAGACGACGAAAGGTGGACGTCTGTGGGTACTCAATCAAGGACGTAATCGGAGCCATAAAAAGCGAAGGATGTATTGGGAAAGATGTGATGTCGGAGAGATTAAAAAGCTGTACAATTCAAAAATGTTGTTGTTGTAGCACAATTATATTATTCTTAGAATTGTAAATGATAAGGATAAAATGCTTTTAAAATATACAAAGCTGACCAAAACCTGAACTTGAAATTTATAGGTTTTTATATAGCCACTAGCAGGTATTGCCCGTCTTAACCCGGCTCAATATAATGTTTCCAATTGTATTTATTTTGTGTGTGCATAACCTACCCATATGTTTTCACCTTATAAGTTACCAGTAGGAAGACATTTTAGGTATTTAAATGAACATTTTCTGTTCTTGACAGAAAATTGTTCAGTAGTCCGTTACATTTTTGTTCTTGCCAAACTATTTCGTTAAACGAACATGACCACTATAATTAATATTTTTTAAAGCTCGTTTTCCCCCCTTTGGAGCTAGAATTTTCCAAAAGCCTTTCTTAGTGTGCTCCTACACTATGATGGATACTATGAAAGGATACTTGAGTCCAAATTTCATCTTTTACCGTTTGGGCTGTGCGTTGATCACCAATTAGTCAGGACAAACTGTTTTATATATAGAGATAACGCAACGTTTTAAGATAGACGATTTGCAAAAAATGGGAATAATTATAAGGGTATATCCTAATTTTAAATTCACATATGAGTCTTTTCGTGCCATATTGAGTCAATACGGTCACGCACAAACTCGGAATATGAAACACGGCACTCGTGTCAATGCCGTGCAGCGATGAGCCACGATCAAAAAGCACTGACAATTCTCATCTCAATTTGCTAGAGTAAAACTTTCGATAGTTGAAGCCACCGATACCATCAAAATATCGAAGTTTGAATGCAATAAGCAGAATATTTAAATAATAAAATCTAATTATTTATTGAGATCAATAAGAACAAATCATACATACATACATCTGCCCGCAATGCGAAGCAGAATATGCGTAGCTCCGTTATTCGGTTTCTGCTTTACTATCGCTTACGCAGTCGTTGCTTAGCGACGGTAACTGTAAACTTTTGGCGTTTTGCCTTTGCAATTAACATTAAATGGTCAATACGAAAGAAGATGTGCGAGCCAACAACTTGAAGTTGTTGTTGTTGTTTTGTATGTACATGCTACATACATATACAGGCATACATACATATGCTTGTACATATGTATGTATGCATGGGCACACATAGACACGAACTGTTGCTTGTTGTATGTATGTGTGAGTGTGTGTATGTGATGTCCCCAACTATTTGATATTTGATATATGGCAAGTAAAAAACATATTGCTATATTTTAATCGTTGAATGCCAATTTGTTGATATAGTTATATTGATTACATTACCCAAATTTGAAATCGATCGGACAAAATTTATAACACAAACTATTCATTTGAAAAAGTGAATAAATATTAAAACCCCAATAATAAAATTAAATGCGATATATCGAAAATATCGATACTTGTGTTGATATATCGTAATACATGTCGAATACAAATACATCGAAAAACATCGTTTGAGAGTTATTGATTATAATACTGTATTCGATTGTTCACTGTACACATATGTACATACATACATACAAATGTATTTGCATGTGTACGGTAACTGGAAACTTTTGGCATTTGGCGTATGCAATTAACAGCCGTAAATGATCAAAACGAAAGAAGATTTGCGATCCAATAACTTGTTGTTGTTGTTGTTTTAAACATTTTGATTTGAAACCATAGAACACTATTTATTACAATTAAACAACAGTGTTCGATGTCCCTCTGCATACATACAAACCTATATACATATGTATATAAGAATGTATGTACGTACATACATACTTATTGATGTACATATGTACATACTATACATACAGACGTATGTACATATGTATGTACGTATGTAATACATATGGTGCTGGTGTAATTCATAATGCGAAATTCTTTCTAAGGGGAGCAATGTCCCCCCTGCCCAACCTGCGTACGCCCTTGTAGTCCGTTGTCCTAAAATCCCTTATGCCAAATGTACTAAACAAAGAAAAAATAACATAAAAATGTTTATGTTATAATGTTAATAATTTTTAATTAATTAACATTTCTTGCCCTGTCAGTGCAAGACGAATGTACTTTTATTCATATGTATGTATGTATATATGTACATACATTTGTACAAATGAACATTCACACATTAGTGTCTCACATTTTGCTTTGGCTACTTCAACCGTTTGCACGCAACTACACGAACAGCTGCTTGTATATATGTATGTGTGTGTGTATGTATACTTAGTTGTCCCCAACTGTTTGATATTTTGTATTGTTTGTTCTGCCTGCATTTGTAAAATGCATATTTTAAAAATCGTTAAATGCAAAGTTGTAATTTTAGTTACGTAGATTATATTACCCAAATTTGAAATCGATCGGACAAAATTTATAACACAAACTTTTCATTTGAAATAGTGAATAAATATTAAAACCCCAATAATTCAAGGTCCAAAATTTCGAAAAACCGAGTATGCAGTTTTGTTTGTATTCTTTTATAGATTATAAAAAACAAATTTAAAGTTGATCGATTCAGAAATGCAGAATTTTCAAACAAACTTTGGAGCTACTTTTCCCCCCTTTGGAGCTCGAATTTTCCAAAATCCCTTCTTAGTGCGCATCTACACCATGATAGGATACTTGAGCCCAAATTTCAGTTTCCTAGCTTTTACCGTTTGGGCTGTGGGGTGTTGATTGTGTTTCAATTTTTCCACGGAAAACCCCCCCTTTTTCATGCCCCAGGCAAAATGGTGAAAAACCAAGTATACAGTTTTTCTTGTATTCTTTTTGAGAGTATACAAACTAAGTTTGAAGTTAATTGGATGAAAATTGTAGAATTTTCATACAAACGTTGGAGCCCGTTTTTCCCCCTTTGGCGTTCGAATTTTCCAAAACCGCTTATTAGTGCTCACCTACACCACTGAAGACAACATGTGTCCAATTTTCAGCCTCCTAGCTCTAACCGTTTGGGTTGTGCGTTGATTGCACATAGCTTTTCGTTTACCGAATTTTCCACCGGAAAATCATTATTATTCAGGCCGCAGGAAAAATATTGAAAATCCAAGTATACAGTTTTTATACCCTGTACCCAAAGGGTACAAGGGTATATTAGTTTAGTGCGAGTGCACATGGAACACACAGAAGGAGGCTTGGTAGACCCCACAAAGTGTATATATTCTTGATCAGCATGACAAGCCGAGTCGATATAGCCATGTCCGTCTGTCCGTCTGTCTGTCCGTCTGTCTGTCTGTATGAACGCAAGGATCTCCGAAAGTATAAGAGCTAGAATAACCAAACTTGGTATACAGATTCTCCTGAGACCGAGAAAGGACGAGCTTGTTCATTTTTTCTGATCCACCCCCCCACTCCCCCCCTATTAACGATTTTCTATAACTCCCGTAATTCTTGGAATTTTGAACTAAAATTTGGTAGTCACATTAGGTTAGTAATTATATAACCGTATACCAAGTCTCATTATGATAGAATGATCGGAAAGAAAGTTATAGCCATATAACCAGGCTCAATGCACACATACATACATATGTACAAGTACACAAACACGCATAGACACGATTCTGATGTAATTGTAAATGTATGTATGCATGCATGGAATATTTTATATTTAATTAGTTAATATTTAGTTAATTAATTAAATTAATTTAGTTAATTAATTTAATTAAATTAATTAATTAATTTAATTACTTTTTTG